TGTCGCCTGGGAATTAAGCTCATCAAGGCTTGATGCCTTGCCAGGATTCAAAGTCCGTAGCTAAAACTCATCCAATTGCGAAGGAGCTAACGATAAGACTACACTGGTCAAGCGGAAATTAGTTAGTTTGTTTGGTTAAGAAGGCGTTTTCTTGTGGGTGGCTATTAGGGGCCTGACCTTTAGTACAAGAAATGAAGTTAAAAGGGCTTTCCCTAGTTATATTTTATGAATTATCAACAAATTTTTGGAATGATTTTCTAAGGAGTTCCGCTTTAAATTTCTATTTCTTTAAAATTTCTTAAATTTATTTGCTTTAAGCTTTGTAATCTTAAATAATTTATTTCCCTGAACCTTAACTAAACATAAATCTCCATAAAAACCACTGTGAATACTTGAATTACTCTATTCCCACTGCCGTAGTTTTCACTTTTCCGACATTTTCCCCCTTCAATGTTCTCAGATAAGAAGAGGATACATTTATTTTGAAAGATGGCGCGGTCCACAATGCTTGGAAAGAAAAACTCTAAGAAAAAAAAGAAAGAAAAGTGAAAAGTAGAAACAAAACAGACAAGGAACTGGACGTTAAAAAGAGGGAGGGGAAATCTGCTGCTGGCATTGGTTTGGCTTTCTGCGAAAAGGTAATCAAAATAAATGAGCGACGCTTTTTGAGGAGGGCGGAAAATCCGTGCAGAACCGCAGAAATAACTCGTTAGCCCTAAATGATGGCCAAGAGGTTGAACCAGAACCAGGGGCTAGGGTGGAAATGGCCCCAAAAAGGGACTGCGATGAAGACGGCGGTTCACTTGAAAATTATGAATTGTTTGTCTAGTAGGTGTCAGGTGCTTGCTTTGTGCATCTGGCCGTAATCACTTGGGTAATCGCTCAAATGCACACACAAAATGATGTTGAAATTTTCCCCAGTGGTTTTCCGCACTTCTTCTCCATCATCATCAGCAGCATCATCATCATCTCCTTACACTGTCACTGTCAAGTGTCTCTTCTTTATCCACTGAGACCTTACCGTCGTCTTGGAATGGGTGGCAAATGGTGGACGTTACGGGTACCTCGGCTTGTGACCTTGCTGTCAGCTCACATGGGAAAAAAGAGTGTGCCACGAAATAATTGATAATAATGGATTTCTTAATAATTCATTGCATAGAGATGTGAACGAACTTGATGAGATGGTATTTAATTAATATTAAATTGGAAAGTAGACACCTAAGGAAAATGGAATTTAATGATTAAGTCAAGTCCCTTAATATACCCAATGACTCATTTACTTTATCTATTATTATGAATCATCTTACAAAAAAGGTGAATAATTTGATAAGCAATATCATTGATAGCCTTTCAAAGTACAAATTTAAAGAATATTCTGATTTTTCCCCCACTTTCCTTTCTCCTACCATTTTTCCACATTACAAATTCCCTCAAACCCACATTTTCCTCTTTGGGTTTTTTAACCTTTTTACTCGCTTCACCTCGCAAAGCATTTCGTTGAACTTTCCCCTTTTTGGCTTTATAACTCACTCAACTTGAGTTTCTTCCCCACGATTTCTTTCCGTTTCGCTTATCCCCCATTTACCCATTTCCCCTTCCCATTTCCCCTTTATGTCTTTACTCACTTTCACTTAACCAAGTTAAGTAGAACATGTTGATTTGCTGCTTTTAATTTGCGACCACACCAACAGCCCACCTTAACGTAGTCAAATTCATCTTGGCCCACTTAAGTCCATGACTTGAACATTCATTTTCCAGGCACCATGTTCTCCCTCTTTTCTTTTTGCATTAAAAAGAAAAACTGGAAGTTTAGCTAAAAGATTCCTTGACGCCTCGAAGTTTCATTGAGTTCCGCCCATAAATTATCATTTGGCAGCTAAAACAGCAACGCCTTCTACTTAAACATCCTGCTGGATTCCAAGGATGATACTTTTTTTTGTTGTTGGTAAGGGTTTTCGTAGGCCAAGTTAGTTGGCTTGTAGGGGATGCATGGATGGCATTATATGCCGCTTACTAACGCAAGTCGTTGGCTCTTATCAGCGTTTCCTGCGGGCCGATTTAGCAAAGACAGCCGTCTAAAATGGATTCCAGTTAACTTGGACCTGGCACTGAGGGAAAATGTTTAATAAATTCTTCTGAAAAAGAATATATTTTGTATATTTTGGATTACTAATAATATATCTTTTATTATATATTGACATATTCAGCATACTATCTGGAGTACGTTCCAATCTGCTATATATTTTTAGACTTAAAAATAATTTACAGGAAATTCCAATTCATTCCCAGCTTGTAGGGGGAACTTATTTTTGACTTTGAACTCTGAAAGTATTCATCGAAAGAGATAAAACCAATGAGGGATTCTGTACCCTTAGCTGTGGTTTTGGGTTTTATCTCTTTTTGTGCACAGCCTAAAAAATATATGTGAAAAAAACACTAAAAACTAATTTTAAGATGGGAGAGTTCTCCTTTAGTTTAACTCATATATTTCAGCTAATTCAGGTTTTTCTTTTAAAAACAAACACAGCTTAAAACCACAACTTTCCTCAGATATTTTCTCTCAGTGAAACTGCCTTGTTTGAAAACAAGACCAAGACCAAGACCAAACAGCCTCTGTAAACTGCGCCTTAGAATGATTCTGAGTCGCTGGCGACAGAAGCCGACACGTTCTTTGGCCCCTTATCATCGTTTATTGTTGTTACATATTTTATTTTATTTTTCGGCAGTTTTTGGGGCTGCAAGGCGCAACAACTTTCGCCCAGCCATGGCTCGTTATTATCCTATTAGGATGTGATGGCACCCGGCAAAAGTTTTCATCCACTAGAATACACACACACACACAGAGCTCATACACACACACACACTATGGTTTGGCCCACATGTCGTATACATAACGCTTTTTATATACTTTCGCCTTTGAGCCGGCTCAAAGACATTACAAGCTCGTTAAAGTGAAATCAATGTTGTTGTCTCCGTGTCTTGGCCGTTGCCATCGCTGTTCATTTTGATTCCGTCCGCTACGTCCGACTTTATTTAGCTATGTATTTTTATTTCATTATACGGATTTTGCCTGCCTTTCTGCTGTTATCTGGCTGGCAGTTTATGCGACAACAACACTTCGGCTAACTGACCATGAAAACGTCTTCAAGGAGTGGGAAAAGAGCAGGAAAGAGGGAAAACTTAAGTAAAATATACCCGCACTCGCTGCAATGTCAGAGAAAAGCTAATGGCGTTGAGATAAAGGAAAAGTATCCGATTTCTTCGGCGACTTGGTTAATGTCCTTTCAGTCAGGCGAGAAATGAGGGAAGTGTAAAGTCATTTTAAGTTAAAACAAAGAACTAAAAGAGCTTATAAAATAAAACGTGATATGAAAATGTTTATATTTCTTAAGCCATTAAACATTTTGTTTAAAAATAAAAATCAGGTAAATTATAAATTATACAAAATTATAAAAATTTCATCAGATTAAATACCAGGTACAGTATTTCTCCTACATTAATTTCAGATCAACTTAAATGATGATATAGTGTCATCAATTTGATGTATTTTTTAAATGTTTTGGGGTCAACATTAAACGCTTCAACCTGCTAATGATAATGACAGCAATTAAGGCGCCCCCATATCACACTGATACCCACAATATCTATATGATTTCATCCAGCCAAACCGTATTTTTAAGGCAATAAATAAAAATGTGTTATAAATTGCAAAAATCAGAGGAATAATTTCAAATGTAAACATCTTGAAATGAAGAAGATTCTCCTCAATTCCATTCACTCCCACTCCCACTCCCCCAGCCGGATTGAATCAACATTTATGCCCAGATCTGTTAATATGCAAATCCAATAATTCCGGCAGCCAGTATTCCCTTGACATTGTTTTCGTCTCATTCCCGACACTTGCTGTGAAGAAAATTAAAGACCAACCTACGAATTCGAATCGGGAAATTAGTCATTCGCCAACTCTCCGCTCACTTGGCAATTAGTCACCTGAACAATCTGCAAGTACAAGCGGATTATATCGTTTGCCGAATAAATGCATGCGGAGATCTCTGCAGTCGCATGTCGTGCACTGAGAGAAGTTAGCTAGCTTAAGATTGGATTTTAGAATATAAACTATATTAGCCAATAATATTTTTAAAACTATTTAATGCCATATTTTAAGCTTTAAGCTTCGTGTCAACATTTTTCCATATTTTTCTTTATTTAAAATTCATTTCCCAGTGCCTTTATATGCTAATATTTTTTTATGCATATTTTTCATCTTACATTAATTCGATGGGCGTGAGCGGGTGTTGTCATGATATTCCATTTCGCATTTCGCATTTAGCACTTCACATTTAACATTTTGCATTTTGCATTTTACATTTGCATGGCGCACACGCCTTGGCCTGAAAAAATTGTGGAATGGAGGCAACGATCTTTACAGTTTTCGGTTGAGAATTCTTCGGTTTCCCAGCCCCCCTACCCCGATTAATATGCGTGTGATCGATCGCTGGTGCAGTTTTTGTTTTTAGCGAATTGGGGAATTTATGCACGTGATGCACTCGCCGAAATTCCATCTGCTCACTTGCTCTGAAAATTTACGACCTGTTGTTTCTTGACGTTGATCTATGCTTTTTCATTCCAATCAGAAAGCTTTTAAGAAGCTCTCTCAGAGCGGAAAAGATTGTAAAAGATAAAGAGATGTGACACAGAGAGAGAGAGAGAGATAGAGAGGAAACTGACTGGGGCAAGAGTCTGGCTGCAAGACTGACCAAGACAAGTCTGGCTGAGAGAAGACTGGCTAAGAAGAAGCCGGCAGCCGGCTAAAGATCAACAAAAAAAAAAGATTTAATGCATGACCGCGAAGAATGCGGCAACAGCAGAGAGATAGAAAGAAAGAGAGCGAGCGAGCTTTTTCGCTCTTTGCGCTCTTTGCTCTCCCTCGAAACGCCAAACTCTTGCTCTCCCAGAAAGCGATCTCCAAGCTATAAATTTTGAGTGAGCGAGCTTGCCATTTCAGTTAATCTTCAGCAGTGACCGCGTGAGCTTCGTCAGCCAACCCAAACTAAAAAAGAAAAACAAGATTTATGCACCCACAATTAAGTTTTCGTTTTGTGAAGTGAACAAAAAACCATGTTAAAATAATACAAAAGCCCTAGAAAAACCAAAAAATTTAAACAAAAATAAAAGAAATTTGAAAAAGAAAATGTGTGTAGTGTGAAAAGCAAATCATGTGAACAAGCACAATTTATGCTCGAGTGACAAGAAAAACAACACGAATTTTACGTGGCAGGTGTGTAGAAGCGCATTCCACAGATTGTACATAATCTATATACTATATGGGGGCACCGCGACTGGCGAATCTCTGCGACTAAGTCATTTTCGTTCCCCCTTTTTTTTTCACCCTATTCAAAGTATTACCTTCTTTTTTTTTTTCTTCTTACTTATTCATTTCGCTGATTATATAAGCCAGCATAAAAGTAGAAGGGTAATGACGGTAGCTTTGTTGTTGGCCCATACAAACAAACACCCAATATGGCTATACAAACAAACAGCCGACACACACACACATAGGAGGGGGACACGTTGAACGTACATAGATAAGATAGCATAGCTAATAATATAGCCACGGGAAAAACTGTACAATAACGTCATTTATAAAATATTTATGGTTTTGGCATAGGATTTTGGTTTCCTTGGTTCTTGATTTTTGATTCTGATGTGCTTCCACAGAGCAATTTCCAGATGCTGATGCTGCTGATGCCTTTTGGGTATATTTAAACATTATTCGCAGGCATTTTGCGAAATAATAAACAAATTATAAATAGGTAACTTAATAAAAAGCCCGATAGCGAGGCAAAACAGATGAAAACGGCAAACACCAGATGATGATGATCATGATGATGAGAATAATATACTCTCCTACGTACGTACGTACGTACATATACACAGGGACAAATAGTCGGTGGGTCTGACAGATCGTCAAAATGCTGAAAGCTTTTCGAACTACTCTACTCTATGCTCGATGTATATTGTATCTTTGTATCTTTTGTATCTCGGCATCGTTTATCATGTATCTCACTCACTCCCACTCGCTAGCCATGTCATTTTCGGCCTGTGTCGCGTTTTTATTTGTTTGAGTTCTTTTTTTTTCACTTTTTTTTTTTTTGTTTACACTAAGAAATCAAGGTTAAAAGCGCAAAGCGGCGTGCGTAAATGGACAGAAATTAGGCAGAGGTGGTTGGGAATTTATCGCAATGATCGAACAATTTGATTTCATTAGCCATACCATGGCAGTACCTATATATATATATATATATATCACACCATACCCCCCAACCCTGCGACACGCACAGTCCATTAAAGACTTATTTAAGCTTGGCACAGCGATGCCAACTACTCGCAGCCAGCCAAAAAATGGGCATACAAAAAAAAAGAAGAGAGAAAGAAGCGGGGCAAGCTTTAAAGAGCCGAAAGCGAAAAAGCAACGCCGAATATACGAAAAACCAGAGCAAATAAATAAAAGCCAGAGGGGGTTGGTGACGGGGGGGCAGAGCTTACGTGACGGAGTCGAAGTTTCAATGCCCTAGGGAAAATGTGTTGGGTAGTCTTAGACAAGAGTTATTACCAAATATTTCTGGTTTCCGGGAATGAATTATAAAGATATTAAAGATAATCTAAATTCTTTAAAATTTCCATAAACAAAACTATTTATCACTAATTATGTAAACTATATTTGTATACAGCTAAGCTGAAAATAACTCTTCGGCAATCATGCTTTTCCGCTAAATAAAACTTAACTTAAGTAGACAAATAAGCAACGCCGCAAAATAAGAAACCAAAGTAAATAAATAAAAACCAGAAAAGTGGATTTAACTTTGTATTAAAGACGAAGTTTTAATGCCCTTATAAAGATGTATAATATTTTTGCTTATTTTTAATAAAAAAACAAAATATAAGAAGTTAAAAGTTGGAAAATAAGCAACTAAAGCTAGCCTAATGGCTAAAAACTAAATAAAAATGAGTTTTAAAGAAGGCAACGGTCTTAATGAAAGAGCTTATAAGGTCAAAGATAAATTATTAAAAAAGTTTCCTTTACATTTCTCTCAAAGAACTTGTCTACCTTAAACAACATATTCCCCTCGCAGGCAAGGCAATGCTAAGCTTCGCCTATCAACCAGCATCACTAGATCGATTCGAGCATGAAACCCCTGAAAAACTCCTAAAAACCCTCATAAAAGCCCGCTGGCTAACCATTTAGAGTTCAAAGCGTTTCCCATTAACAGCTCAGCGAAATGCAAATGAAAGTTGAGCGATTGATTGGCAATGCCAGCCACTCGGCACCATCAAATTGCCCCGGAAAACTTTACAGACTCCACCTTGAAAGGGTATTTCTGTATTTCTGGGCAAAAATAAAAAGCGAACGGCAACGAGCCAATTCAGAGGTCAGAGCGAGGCAAGGCGACCAAAAGCATAACAAAACGAGACGAGACGGCGACTACACTGCGATGAAATCTGACACCAACTCGTATCAATAAAGAGTCAATATTCAATAAACATCACACTGAAAGACACAAAACAAAAACCTATGCTTCTGTCTGTTAAAATTCAGGAAAATTTGAATAATATTTTGCATACAAATTTGTAAATTTTCGGTTGGAAAAAATCCTATCCCTGGCTGAACTTCCGAATGTCATATAATTTGTATATGTTAAAGGCGAAAAGATATTACTTAGCATAAACTACACAAGATTTGACACAAAATGTGTGCTAACATAATAATATATCAGCCGATTTAACAAGGTGATGTGATATATATACATCTTTCTTGTCTTTTTTGCTATTTTTAATCCATGGCGAATGTGAATAAAACATAAACAAACGGACCTCAAATCAAGCATTAAAGGCGTTTAAGAATATTAATCCCCATAATATTTCATGTTTTTAGTTTTATGACAACGCGTAGTTAAGGAAAAAAACCAACTGAAATTTTATGATTCTATAGAAATTCCTGCATGTAATTAAATTCATTTAATATTTTTCATATGGTCCATAACGGCGTATTTAACTCAAGATGAATCTGTGACGTAAAAACTATAAATTTCTCACTAAATTCCAAAGCAGAAGGCAGATTTATTGGTCATTTCGCATAGTTATTTGACGTCATCTCTGGTCAAAGTTTTACTTGACCATTTTGTAAATAGCAAGTGCAAAGATGTATATTAATAGATGTTTAGTTGATAGAGATTTTGATGGTATTGTAAGTTAATTTAGTCTTTGTAGGGGGCTGTCAATGAAATAGGCTTATTGTCTAAAAATTTTGTAGAGTTTCTATGATTTTAAGACTTTATATAGGGGGCCTTTCTATTACTGTTCCTATTATTGATAAGCACTTGCTAAAGTTCCGATTTATTCAACATATAAATCTCTTTATTTCGTGACTCCTAATCTTAGCCCCCTTTTCTTGCCGTGTTTCTTTTCGCCTAAAGTTTCGCGAGCCAACTCCAAGTTGCAATGCGCTGAAAAGAGATGACGAGCTTTATGACGAGTAGCGGTGGCTATGGCAAAAGAAAGAGCCAAACTGCCCGCACATGAGGTTTGCTCTTAACCGCCCCTCCAACCCTTTGAGCTTCACCGAAAAAGAACCCCTCTCTTTAGCCCCCATAGTACCCTTTGTAATCGCCCCGCCCTGCAGGCCCTCATCCCCTTCTCCAAAGCATACCTTTCAAGTGCGGGCTGCTGATGTTGCTGCTGCTGCCGCTGCCGCTGCTGCTGCTGCTGCTGCTGGTGCTGGCTCATCAAAAAGCCAAAAGTTGTTGAACGTGAAATTATTGTACGCGAACACGAGCAAATACCAAGGCAGTTGTGTGTGTGTGTGTGTGTGAGTGTTAGTGTGTATGTTTGCAAGTATTTATGCACACACAGAGCCAGTCGGTTTTTGCATGTATTGTTGCCTTGCCGCTCCAAGATAAACAGCTGAAACGAAGCAAAAAAAAAAATGAAAAAGAAAACAAGCTACAGCTAAAGCCAAAGCTAAAGCCGAACTGGTAGCATCGCATAGATGCATCAGATTTCGCATTCAAGTGAAATTTATGGCAATAATAAAGCTTAACTTGCGTTCGAGGTAAAAAGATGATGAACTATGCAGAACCCAGAAAATGGATGGAAAAAAGAAAACAACAACAAAAAATAGTTACTAAAAGTTGACATTCGTCAGCGTTGCCAAGTCAAGAGACTACCTCCCCACTTTTCAAACCCCTTGACTTTGCGCGAGAAAAACTTACTTAGCCGCTATCACAGTTTAGTCATCTACACAAATATGCGATTACCGCACAACAATCCGAGAGATACGGATACATAGAGCCCAGATACAACAGATATAAGTTTAAAAGAATGCCCCAAGGTAAGCGTTCAGTGCTAGCTTTACTCTCCAAAGCAAATAGAAACTTTAAGCAGGAAAATGTGTGCCTCTATTTATCAGTTACTTGGAAGCGCTATCTCTAATATCTTTTATAATTGTTAGATAATGTTATGAAAGGAAAACTGAAATATTGAACATTAGGGAAAAGCGTGTTCAAGCTTTATCGCAATTTTGTAGATATGTTTTTTGCAAAATTCGAGTATGGCCAATCCAATTAATTATATAATCGTGATAAGATTAGTTTTTTGGAACTTTTTCCCTATCAACTTAAAGAACTTTCTTAAATTTCTTAGAAAAAATACAAGTTTATTATTTTATAAAACTTCTTCTTGATGTCTTAACCATAAATGAAGGGAAAGTTCTGCCCACAAAACGAAAGTCCGAAGGTGAGATGGCTAAAAAAAAAAGAAATAACAAGTGACAACAGGAAGCTGAGATTAAAAGATCCAACAAAAAGCGACCCAAATAAGATAAGATCTGTTTGGTGAAGCCAACGAGACGATAATTAAAATTCCTCCAGATACAAACAATATATATATATATATATATATCTGGTCTGATTGTTGTCGGGCGGGCCAACTTCTCGGAATATCCCCATTCATTTCTGTTGCCATTTATAACCAATTTTCGGACTACTTGTTCGCTTGATTTTTCCTTTTATACTTTCCATACATACATTCCATTTTTTTGGGGGTTCATTAATCTGGCATTGTTTATGGTTGCCGCTTAGCCAAATAGAAGATGTCTAAGGAAGGAGTGGGGGAGGGGAGCTCAACTCTCTTCGAAACGTCAACTCACTTCATAGGTTAGTGAACCTGCAATAGCCGTACTCTCATTCGCCGTAGCTCTCGTCCAAAAGCAAACAAATTCCCAGAAATTTCTATGGTCGCAAACACTCCGTTTTCACATGCTGGATGTGTAATCATGAGTGGACTTGTAGGCGAAAGAGATATATATATATAGAGTATATACATGCAACAAGAATCTTGGATCTCGGGTTTATCAGGTTTAAGTGAAAAACAACACTCTGTAATTAAAGCCATTTTTCCTGTGAACTGTGAATTTTCTGTCTACCTTAGTCTGAGTAATGCAAATTGTGCAGCAGATAAGATAAAGCCCAAAGGCCTTCAACGATGGGGCTGGCATTTTCAACCATCTCAAATTTGATGAAAGGAAATTCAGTGTCCCGCTCGAAATTAAACGGAGCTTTTCTGAATGGAAAACACACACACACACCGGTTCGTATCTTATAAATCTACGGTCTTGTTTAAAAGGAGAGTGGGTGGATGCGTTTAGGATTTGATTGAATGCATATGAAAAGCAAATCATCGTCAGACATTGAATGGCAGGAGGACACTGGGAAAAAGTTTAAGGGAAGTTTTGTAGATTACTCTGGAAAATTAAGGGAAAATAAAGTATTTCGCAAACTTTTAGGAGCTAACTTTAAAGTTAAATCTGAAAGTTAACGTTCAAAGGTTCTTCAAATCGCTAATCACAGATCAGATTTAGTTTTGCTCAGTGAACACACACGCAAAAATTTGTTCGATCCGGAGACGGACATGGACATAGACATGGACTTGGACAGGTCTTTTATGGTACCTGTGAGGACAGACCAGCAGTGAACCCACCCCCCCTCTATCGACACAATGTGTGCGTGGGTTCTGTATGTGTGTGTGTATGTGCGTGTGTACCTTTATCAGTGCCTTTTCAGTGCCCGAGTTCACCATTCATCAGAAAGCCAGAAAACATTCACAAACATTTTTTTGTAGTTGCCGGGGAAAATTGGTGACCCCGACCCTCGCTGATACCCCTTGTCCAATGTTCTCCGTACCCCAAAAACAAAAAAAAAAATTGAGAGACTGGCACTTGGTCATTAAAACTACTACTCGCAGAGCCGAAAAAAAAAGGTTGCTATTTTTAGCAGTGACGAACCGGCAAACCAAAGCAAACCAAACCGATTTTGAGAACCCGAAAGAAAGATTGAGAGGGCAGGCATTTCGCTGTAGAGGCACCTTCTTATTAACGCCTCGAGTGTTTACTGCCTTTCTGCTCTGCTTTTTTTATATTCCTTTTCTTTGTTTTTTTTTTTACATTTTGTTGCCTTGGCAAATGCAATCAAATTAGAATTCGCATTTCATCAGATGCGAAGAATAACAAACGAAACAGTGAGGAAAATTTGAGGAATGGGAACGCAAATTCTCAGCCTCTCCCGTTTTATATGCATTATTTTTTGGGGTTAATAATGATTTTTCAATCTACCTATACATTTTTTCGAATTAAAATTCTTTAAAGTCTTTGTGTAATAACCAACAAGCCACAGGGATTTAAATTTAGATTTTATGAATGATCCGAAAATTAAATTTGAAGAAATATTCTTTGTAGGAGTTAAGCAAGATCTTTTTTTTATCCTAAATCCATCATCAGAAATCAAACTTTTCTTTATAGAAATTTAATATTTAAACTGAAAATAGACTTCGCTCTTATTTCTTTCTGTGTCTTTCTCTTTTTTTGCAGTTGATTTCGCCGAGAAGATGCCAATTGATTTTGATTTTCGCAAATTATAACGAGACATTTATATGATTTGATAGCTGGCCAGAAATTCGCAAACAATTCCCAGCGACCAGGCAAGGTCATATCGATTGTCATCAGCTGCTGTCGGCAACCCCACCAACCCAACATCACCCACCGCCCAACAACCTCCAAAGCCACCACCCAACGAACCATTGAAAAGCAAACATAGCGAATATGCCAAGCTTGCACAAGCCAAGTGGGTGCTTGCACCAGATGCTAATAATATATGTACTAATATTTGTTTCCAGTGCAACGACACGTAAGTAAACCCCCTTTGCATATATATATTCAGATATATAGATAACCCAACCCAACCTTAACAAGGGAACAATTTAATTTATATTTATTTATGGCTTTAATGTCTGTGTGGAGGGATTTTCTTAGCTATTGATTTAGGACTTTATCAAATTGTATCAGTATCATAAGATACTCTAGGATGGCACCTACAATGCAAAAAAGCAGGGCATTGTTAAGCTTAAACAGTCCACAGGCGCTGACGGTAAACATAGAGTCCACATTCTTCAGATACAGCCCGTAGTAGTGCATCTGAGGGGGAGAGATAAATTTATAAAAGTCAAAATGGTATCAAGTTGCAGGGAAGGAGGGATTTATGACTTGCAAGCAAAGAGCTTCTCGCTTTTTGTTAACAAGAAAAGGTTAATAACTTATATTCAACACTTTCTTGACTGTCATTTTAAGTAAGAAGAATAACTCAGCAGCCATAATTATGAAAATAAGTTAATGAAATTCATTCAAAACACCTCATTGACGTGACTGAGTAATAAGTCGGCAACTTTGATGATATTTTCTAATTATGTTTCTTTCCAATCTTAGCTAAAAACTCATTATAATTCCAATCAGTATTGGCAACTATTTTATGATGTGCGATTTACAATCGACACCCGCTGACTACAAATGCCAGCCATTATTTTCCCTTAAAATCAACTCATTAGCATACAAATTTTTTATATATGCATAACTATTAAATTAAATGAAATTATAAAGAGTTTCTATTAAAAATGCCAAACTTACAGTGTGCTTGAATTGCTTTGCTGTAATTCTCGATGAAAAGACTAGAGTGCCACGCCGTAGAGTTTCCCTAGTGCCGTTGAGTTTTCTTTCTAAGTAGTAGGTGGGTAGAATTACCAGCAGCAGATTGGTGAAAAGTCCAATCATAAAAACTATGGCATAGTAGTTTAATGAAAAAGATCTGCCATACTTTCGCAATATGAACTTGCTGTACTTCATGAAGTAGGTGAAGAACAGGTGAATCATGCACTCCAAGGGCACATAGCCCACAAAGCATACGGCCTGTACGGCGTACAATGAGTAGATGCATTGACGCAGCTTCAGCAATTGCTGATGGAGATGAAGTAATCTCCATAATTCGAGGGCCAACCATTTTTGTTGCTCTCTATACAGCTGCTGGCGGTTTGGCCAAAATCCAGCCCTTAGAGAATTTTTCAGAATTTTCTCAGCATCTGTCAGAGTTTGGGCCAGCAGCAGATTGGAGTGTCGAACGAGATGACCCAGAAATAGTAACGCCAACGTGTACATCCCCAGGGATAGCTGCAGGATGAGTTGGCAGCTATAGACGAAAACCAAACAGCAGCCATACATAAAATTCCTTCGCACTTCAGGATCGTCCTTGAGGACTTGGATAGGCTGAGCAGAGGAGAAGACTATAGATATGAGTAGCACCACCACATCGATCAGATGTCCCCTGCTAGCCAGACAATCCAGGGATTCCCTCAGCTCCACCGTATGCATAAGTTTCCTTAACTGCCTGCGGCACTTCAGTAATCCATTGAGACACCTTAGGATCTCTTTCTGCTTGGAGCAGTGTATCCACAGGGTTATAGCAGCACAGATTAGTAGCAGGACATATCGATTGAATCCAATTAGTAGCAGGATTTGATTCTGACGCAGGAAGGCCATCCTTTGGTAAATGCACCAGAAGGCGTAGGGCGAAAAACAGCCCACAAAGATCAGCATCACCGCGCCGTGGACGCGAAGGTAAAGGCTCTCCCTTGCCCTCTTTATGCCTCGTGGACTGGAGTTAGTAGTGGCCATTAGGCCAAACACTCTGGTCAGACTGTACAGTAGAGACAGGGCCGACATGCCCAGAAGAAACAGCCAGCGCGGCATCGATGTGATATGATTGGGAACGAAACTGCTAGTGGGTCAAACCCAAAGGCAATGACATAATCGAATCACAGCCACAGGCAGGGCACTCAAGGCAGGGCACTTAGAAAAAATGGGGGATAGCTTTTAGTAGCTGGTAGAGCCCTTATTAGGGAATTTAACAAGAATTTAAGCCTACATTTTCCATGTAAAAACAAACAAAACCAAACAAGCCAATCACTTAACTATTTTAAGGCCAAGAAAATTCATATTTTCCTTTAGCAAGTTCATTTTTCTCCAGCTTAGCTCTAACTTAAAACGAATCACAATGAATTGTTTGAAATTCTAAGAAAATCTTAACCGACTTGTTAACATTGTAAAAGAATGTGAGATATCCATTCATAAACGATTTCCATTCATGAGGAATATTTTCCAAGTGTGGTTATGCCAGCTATTAGCCTGATTGAATTTCGTTTAGCCAAGGCGTTCACTCAGCCAGATAATCTGGCCAGATAACACACTCACTGAGCAGCCCAAAAGTGCCACAACAAAAGGGTTTCGCCGATGGTTAGATGGATGAATGTATATAGAATGGTTAGATGGATAGCTGGCTGGCTGGATGGATGGAAGGCTGATTGGGCAACAAGACAGGAGAAAATCCGAATTGGCCCAAAGAGAGAAAGATAGTCGGATGGAAATTAGGTAAAATTGGAGAGCTTATGGGTGCTGTTGTGGCTTACTTTCCCAGTGGCAGATCCCCATCGAAGTGTCAGGCTAGCCTTGGAAATCACTCAATTTGCAAGTGGATTCAGGTGTATGCATCTGCCATGTCCCGGTTTCGCACCTGGTGAATGGTGAATGGTTTTCTGTTAAGGTTAAACTGGATTTCCAATCAGTGCGCCCCGAACTAACAATTTAAATCTCCTGAAAACAGTTGGCCTGGCTGGCCCACTTGACTGAAGAGATTCCGTGTTCTCGTATCTTCGTATTTGTATCTGTATCTGCACGCCACAAAGGATGTCGCTGGATTATTAAAAAAGTTTTTCGCTTTTAAAGAGTTCTTCTCCCTCTCGTGTCTGTTTTTTTCTCCCCTTTCTCGCTTTTTTTCATTCAGGCTACATAAAATGCAAAACACTCGAGTATATGGTATGTATATGTGCTGGCTCGTACTTTCATCCTTTTATGAAAACTTTCCACGGCTGTTTATAAGTTTTCTCACCGAAGAGCCAGCCAAAGTGGCAGCAAAAGTGTAGGGGAAAAATGCCAGGCGAAAGAAAAAAAAAACAAATATAGCCAACCATGTATCTACAAGTCTCGGGGTATGCGCTTTTGTCCTCGGCCACGGATCTTGTATCTGGTTTAGGCTACCTCTCCGTCCTGCATCCAGATTCTATAGCTTCTGGTTCTGTCGCCGCCTGCTCCTCTGACTTTATCTGAATAGGCAGAGGCAGGCAGGCAAGTGTGCGGTTTGGTTTTTATCTAGGTTAGGTGGCCGGCTAGTCTGACAGCTGCTCCGTAGCTAGCTGAAAATTGCGATGCAATGTCCTCGTCTGACGGCTAATTCATGCGCTTTTTTTTTTTGGTTTTCGGTTCGGTTTGGTTGCTCTACAGGAAGGGTATTGATGACTATCAATGGTGGTTTGCCAACAAAAAGGAGTTTGGAAAGATGTTCTCCTTGAAATCCATGAATATGGCTTGACAAAAACACAAATAGAATAGAATCAAAATATGCACAAATAAATACGATAAGCATATGTACATTATTGGCATCAGTTGGCAGCCCTACTAATATCGATTAGAGTCGTGTATTGAAGGGCCCCTTGAGAAAGTCCAGCACTAAAAAGTAGAAGCCGTCGAGTGGCCAATCTGTTGTAAAGTCGCGCCAAATCAGTTGTCATATTATTATTAATTAATAAAACATCCAACATTTATACCATAACAATCTGTTGAGTATAACAAAAATGAGTTAATCCAAAGAAGAGCATAAAACCTTCGACTAATCCGCCACCAAATTCAAGTTGAGCAGCATTTAAATTGTTTTTAATTTTTTTATATATTTATTTTTTTTGGACATGCCTCGTTTAAATCTAACCTCCCGCCGCCAAAACTTCAAAGTCGAACTGCGGATACGACGAGGGCGGCTGACAACTGTCCCAGCTGTCCCGCTGATAACACGACAGCGTCAGCGAACAAATGCGAAAAACAACGAACAAGTAAAACTTTAATTAAATAAAGTGTAAGAAGTTTGTTGAGCTCCTTCAAAGCAGCCGCCGTCAGCTCGCCAGTTTGTCCCGCCAATCCACCCACCACCAAACATTTTCCCCGAAAAAACACATTTCTGCTCCCCGGACATCAAAGTGCAGGCCCAAAAGACCAAGAAAGGAAAAGCAAAAAAAAAAAGGAGAACCGAATAAAGTTTAGTTTTTAATATTCGACAGGCAGCGGAGGTTCTTCTTATGCTTAAATCAAGTAGATTTTTCCAGCCAGATATTTACTTTTGTCCCGACCAGAACTTGATTGTTTACCCGGAAAAAGGAAAAACCGACGGGCCAAAAAGTCAAAGGGCATGTAAAAGAATAAAAGAGAGATGGTGAAAATTCCCATTATATGGACGAGTGAAAATGACAAATTAACTTGAACAATGAACGTACATGTTTCGACAAAGGAAATGGAGAAAACTCCATAATAAAAAGGAAAAGCCAAAGGAAAAAGAAGAGAAAAGTGAGAGAGTCTCAGGTATAGAATATAAAATTAATGGAAAGCAAACAAACTGAGTCGGCAATCAATGGCAAGTGGGCTAAACTTTAATTGGTTTAACTTTATTCCATTATTTGGTACCACTGTTCGGGGCTAATGAATCACTTACCTAGATAAGAACCGGACATTCCATCCGATAACTTGACCTTAATGCATTCAGTTCGGCTGGCCCTGTAAGGTTAAGAGAGGTGTAATTAAAGCCAAGATATTGCCGAACTTGTGAAAAATATGCGAAGAGGTGAGAGGATAATAAATTCAATGTAGATTTCAGTTTTTAAGATAAAACTTCCATTTAAGTGAGAGTTCAAAGGGAAACTATGGAGGTGGAAGAGAGGTTTTAGATTCGGAGTAAATTATGATTTCTTATCAGAGTTTGATTCTCACATTCTGCCACTTATGTCATGAAATTCTTTAAAAAATATATTCTTAAGTAAACAAAGAAAGAGAACCTTTAAAATTCCACTGCTCTTTCCTTAAAACTTAAGCTTTTTTCCTGCAACTTTACTTACCTGCAGCAGATACACCTTTTTTGCAAGACTCTCAGTTTACTTGCAACATAGAAAGCAGCTTACTACCCCCCAGCATCATTGTTATTTTCTCTAGTCGAGGGAAGTTAAATCCCGCACTTTGCCATAAATAAGGTAGCAGCAGCATTACTCGAGGTGACCTCCATTACCGACCCACCCATACTGCCTTACTACTACTTAAGTACACCTAAGCTGCAACTGAGACCTTCATGTTTTATTGACCAACCACCAACCAACCACTAACGGCAGAAATTTTCTCACCATAATTTCATTACAGTTGACCAGCAGGAGCCATTGCCGGATTTGTGTGAGTCGATTAAATGCCCGCCGGATGCCGAAATGCAATGCCCGGCGGACAGTTCTATACGCCAGAATCTACTTGCGGTGGACCTGATTAAGTCCAATGCCGTGGAGTTGCCCACCACGGGTGATACTTCGTTGGCGGATGTGTCGGTTTCGTACGATAGCAGTCTGATCTCCAGTGAGGATTATGCCCAGTGCTGTTTGAACCGGAAGTGCGTGTGCAAGACCTGTTACATTCCGGACTGCGATTCGGACACAGACCAAGAGCTAGTTGTGGTGGAGCTGAAGCCGGAGAATTATCAAAAGCCCGGGGAATGCTGTGGCACCTACGAATGCCGAACGGAACCGAATTGCACGGTGTTAAGGGACACGGACTATCATTGGCTAACGCAATGCCAGCGCTGCAGGTGCGAATCTGGGCTGAAGATTTGCCACAAAAGCTGCGATGACAGGGCTGAAGGTGTGTGCCAGTCGAAGATTTCGGGTGTGTTCTATAAGGATGGAGAAACCTGGACGGAGAACTGCAAGACCTGTGAGTGTGAGAAGGGTGAGCCCAAGTGCACGATGTCCTTCTGTGGCAACCTCAACTGTCCCAGTGAAAGGCAGGTTACGCTGAAGGACACCTGTTGTCCGGTTTGCTGGCCAAAGTGTGCCCCGATGCCGAATGAGAAACAAAATGATGATGACTACAATGATTATGTCGATGAGCCTGAGACACCAGTAGAGGAGGATACTTTGCCACCACTCCTGCCCGATCCACTGACCACCCAGCAAAGTGCAGAGTTAATAGCAACTAGCACTACTACTAGCACTACTCCAGCTACTCCACTGGCCAACAACAATGTCCGTAACTTTGATCAACCGAATGTTGTGGAGGTGGTTAGTCAACCGAACTATATTTCCTATGGTCTAACGGGCTATTCGGTAATAACTACGATTATCATTGTGGCCATGGGCATCTATATCTGCCAGCAGAGTGCCAAGAAACGTTCCTATGATCCGGTCTCCATTCTGGACCACAGCATCTAAGCAAGAGATCTTTCGAAATACTACTAAACGAGAGTAATATTAAAGATGAAATGTAATTTAGAACTAAGTATTCCGCTTTTTCCAGCTTTAAGTTGCTTTTGCTTTTCCAGTGTGACCGGACTTCGGGTTAGTGCTACATAAGCCTAACGCTTAAGCCTGGTCACTCTAAATTGAATCAGTTTAATTCGCTTAGATAGGAATACCAAATGCCCAAGCCTTTCTAATGCCTTTGCCTTTGTTTGTTTGGTATTGATCTCATTTTAACTTTTCACTTTTCACTTGCAACAACAACAACAACAACAACACGAAAACAACAACAAAAATTTAAATATAAATCACACGAAAATATAAGCAACGAACTTCCGCAGCAACAAAATCAAAGTATTCTTATGAAATTACGCAAAAAAAAGAAAAAATATTTAATTAAAAACGAAACAAGAGTTACTATTACTAAACAAACGCAAATGATGATGATAATGATGTATGTACATACTTAAATGCTTTCCCCCTTCCAAGGGACGGCAAACCTTTTTTTTAAAACATAAACTTTGATTTAAGAGAAATATAATACCAAAACATATTTAGAAGCGAGTAAGCAAGAGAAATCAACTTGAAACTGCTCGAGACACGTCTTAGATTTTAGTTTTTAGGAAGTATGTGATATATATGCTAATTTAGCCTATGTAATTTGTCAACCAAGGCACGCTGCTGTTTAAAGAGAAATCAAAAGAAATGAAAAATTATATGGAAAAACAGTATTTGCAACACAAGACCCGTAAGCCCCCCCGAAACGAAATGGAAGAACGCATTGCACACCGCAGAAGGAGGTTCAACTTTTAGCTAATGTCATAACGTTGCCACATAAATGTATACTATAAAATCTTTATTTAAATTTATGTTTAAAAATAAACCAAAATTGGTATGCAGAGCGAGAAAACCAATTAAATTTTGTTATTTTTTTGTTTGTATTAGAAATGGTATAAGAATTTATGACATCTTTTTTTTATAGTTAATCTTTCCCACGCTTAAATATTCTCACCAATTAATTCCCAGAAATCTTTAAGTAAATATCATTTAAAGGTCGTAAAATGAGTTTAGCTGACATTAAGTGAAAGGCAAACACTTAAACCTATATCTAACGAAACACTTTCTTTGCAAATTCTAAATATTTTCGCTTGAAAGTTTTTTTCTTGCATACATTTTAAATTTGACCTTCAAAAGCCGAAAGATGACAGAGTGAGAAAAGGTCCCTCTCCTTGGCAAATTGTATGCTAAGCATAATGTCAGGCCATGATATGATTTATAATACGTAATAAGTTCCAGGGCAAACTTGAAGTGGGTAACATAAAATACATAAAGGTTGTTTTGGGGGTGAGAAAATCTGGAGAGAGTCCCTGGAAAAAATACGAATAGGCATGGGAATTGGGTCTTTGGCGGCGCCTTGTTGAGCCTTCCCGTGTTCGGCTTTGTTACGTGGGCGACCCACTTTGCAGAAATGGCAGGCCAACAATGTCATACATTTTGTTTAGATTGTTATCAAATGCTAAAATACCATGAATAAGGTATACGAGGTGTGTTCAAAAAGTAAGGTGACTCTTCAAATTTCGCGAATTTCAAATTTTTCGATTATCGATTTTTTTGTTTTGTTATATTGGTACACTCTTCCCTAACATCTGTACCAAGTTTCAATGGAACATCCTCTTTTGTTTGGTTGTGAGAGGCGTAAAGTTACAAGTTATTTTGCGAGCTCGGCGATTTTTTGCTATCGAAAAATATGGATCAAAGGATTTGGATTTTTTGGCCAAAAACAACACCACAATAATGCCTCAGCCACCATATTCACCGGATTTGGCCCCATGTGACTTTTTCTTGTTCCCAAAACTGAAGATAATCGAAAAATTTGAAAAATTTGAAATTTGAAAAGTCACCTTACTTTTTGAACACACCTCGTATAACTTCTAAAAGGTTTCGATAATCGAAAAATTTGAAATTCGCGAAATTTGAAGAGTCACCTTACTTTTTGAACACACCTCGTATAAGTAAGTATACACTTGGAATTCTATTTTTAGGTTTAGTCATTAAGAAATATTTAGCTTGTTGGAAGTGAAAACTAATTGATTTTGATTAGAAAAAGTCACTTAAAAACAGCTTTAAAAGTTATAAAAACTAAAAACACTACAAAATTATATACATTTTCTGGCAGTTTCCTTTGTCAAGCTGAAACAAATAAATTTTCCAAGATTTATGATCATAAAGTAACAAGAATTTGGTGAGTGTAGAAACCTATTTGTTTGGGGGCCATTCTATATGAGTACGTAGTTGAGTGGGTGGCATAGTGATTTACAGAGCCATACACCTAATAAAAATGCCACTCGAAGAGGGATAGTGGAGGGTATTGCATATTGCTTCGATTCATCTGAAAGCCAAGCAAAATAATGACGCCCCCACTCAGACCGCCGCCGCCACTGGAAACACGTGTAAGCCGCCCCCCCTTCCAGGCAACTGCAACCATCAAACATTTTGTATGGATAAGGCGGGGGTAAAGGACCACCTAGGAGGGGGGGGATATATAACAAAGACCCAACACAATAGACTTCAAGAGTTTGGATGACACTTTGAATTATTCTGTTGTTGATGCTGTAAAAACACGAAGGCACAGGACCCAAAAGATATGGGATGGTAGATTTATTGAGGCTCGACTGGAACGGCGGCAAAAAGCATCTGGGATCTGGTAGGAGACTTCGATAAGCGGAAGGACAAGCGGCCACTACACAGATTTGCTTTTCAGTCTCACTCACAGCAACAAAAACAACAAAAAGAAGAAAGAAAGAAAAACGAAAAAATATAGAAAGTATAAAGTGGGTGAAAAAAAAAACGTATACTGTTGAAATTTATATCTCGGCACCACCATTCAGCAGAGCAATAATCGAGGACCAGAGGAGAGTTGACTTAACCCACTAATAGCTGAAGAGGAAATTGATTAGAAAATGTGATACCTAAGCTCCAAAAGGAAAAGTTGGTGTTAGAAGAAGAGATTTTCGAACCAATATAGGTAAAGTAAAAGAAGAATCTATTACAGCTTAACCTAAAAATAACTTTAAACTTTCTTTAAACTTAAAAAATATTTAACAAAAATCATAGTTAGCAGAAGCTACAAATTGAAGAATCTGCCTCATTTTCATCTTCCTCATCATCAATTTAAACTATGACTGGACTATTTCTCGCCCACTGACTGGCCAAAGGTTAAGATGAGAAGGATAGACACTGAAGAGCATTGGAGCAATCAAATCCATGTCTGGAGAAGTGAATAGCCATTGGCAAACATTGCACAAAAACATACACAAAAAAAAGCGTAGCAGAAAAGAGAGGAAAACCGAAAGGAGATTGAAAAGTGCAGACAACAAAGCCAGGCAACAATGGGTTGGGGAAAAAGTTGAAGGGAAATGGGAAAATATTTTCAACAGTCAAAGGGCAATGGAAAAACTATCAACAGAAACCAGCGTTATCGAACCAAACAATAAACTGCTATTGTTTCCTCGAAACGTTTTTAATTGATCCTTAACTAAATGAAAGTAATAAAGGTAAGCTGGTAAGGAAACTTTCAAGAGAGATTGGAAATTTATTGAAAGAAAAATTATAGAGGTAATCCAGGTTACGTTTTAGGTTTTGAAAATCCCCAAAATACATCTTAAACAAACTATTTTACAGCCAAATAAGTTTAAAAGGATAAATTATGTTTAAATATTCTGTCAAAAATCCATCATCACTTCAAAACGAAACCCAAAATACCAGGCTCATGAAAATTTGGCCCAAAATCCGGTCAGCATTAAAGTGAATCGTTTTGCATTCCGAATAGGAAACGGAAAGCACTCGATTTGGTTTCATGTTTAATGGAAGTGCCATCAATCCAGATCAAAACTGGCTGTCATTAGAAAGAGACACACATACAGAGAGATAAAGAGACAGAGATGGGTAGAGAAAGAGACAGTGAAGCAGGACTAGGACTTGTCACTTGCCATAAATGCAAATGATTTATCCAAAAAGGCAAACCGAAAGCCAATAAAATCATCAAAGACGCCTTAACATTGATAGCCGCAAATGAGTCTGGCCAGGAATCTATTTCAATATATATATATATATATATATAGCTATGAAAACCCCAATACATATATATCAAAAGCACATTAGCACGAATTCGAATCGGCAATTGGTATTTACATGGCAAGCTGTACATACAGATGACAAAACCCCAAGCACATGTCAAAATTAAATAATGTACCGCACGATTGCTGACTCCTCCTGCATTTTCCATGGCCATGGTACTGGCAACTTTCCACCCAGTTTTCCAACCCAACTGCCCCAACCAACACCAACACAACGCCGCCACTTGTAGACACGGCATTGGCATTGGCTTTTATTTGAATTCGGTGCGTGCGGCTGTCACTTGTCTGTTGTCTGTTACATTCGCCATGTAAACACAACCGCAGGCAATTTTGGCAATTTGCGTCAACAGGCGAAACACGGAACCAAAACCTCGCCCAACAACAATAAAAAGAGCTCAACCTATGCAGTGGAAAAAAACAATAAAAATAATTACTTCATTTTTTAGATAAACATAAGGTATTTTGTGTTTTATAAAGTTAACTTTACAAACTTTACTGCTAATGTACTCTGAACTCTTATTTAGAATCAATTTTTTGGGCATCAACAACCTTAAAACCTTAAAACAAAAATATTTCTCTTTATCAACTTTTCTCTCAGTGCCTCAGCAAACCCCAAAACCCGAAAACAGAACTGGCGGCCAAGAGACAAACGTCTCGCCTTGGCTTAAGCCGAGAGGTAAATATAAGCCATGGGGGCATTTGCCTAGACGGGCCAGATAAAGGGCCAGATATAATAGGGGGGGCGGGGGTGTAGAAGGTGAAGAAAAGGGGCCAAAAGGGAAGGGGCAACAATCGGGCTATGTAAAGCCGCCTGCACCCAAGGAAAGTGTTTGCCTTGCTGCCGAACTGCCACAACACAACACACACACACACGCCAGCCAAAAAAAAAGAGGAAATAAAAACCAGAGAAGAACAAAAGCGAGACAAAAATTACAAAATACTGAAACAAACTCGGTAAGGAGAGGCTGGCGAAATAACAGGTGAGATTGGATGAGATACCCTGTAGGTATTTTAATAAGATATGCTAAGCAGGGGAAATCAGGAAGGTAAAGATGGAGTTTCTTTACTTAACTAATATTAAAACTTAAGCAAAGACTTAAAAGTGGTTGAAAAATATGTATTTCTTAGTAAAAGGTTGTTATCTTACGGGGTTAAAAATTAATACTTTTAATAGTTGATATTGCATTTTCTCTGCTTTCTTTTATAATTTCTACAGAGAATAACAAATAGTATTAAATATTCAAAAATACTTTATAAATTTCCTTACTTAATTGCAATTTTGTTATTAAAAAACCACAAACACCAAGGGACTTAACCTCCTACAAACTACATGCTTAATTAAAAACAGCACTTAAAAAACTAATAACTAAATTAATGTTTCTTGTGTTATTTTATGCACTGCCATTACTCCCCAGAGTCCATCTATCCAACGTCCTACTTTACAGGGTGCATAAGCGAACAAAAAAAAAACACAATAAATGGCACAGATACTACAGAAATTTGCCATCTCAAACATAAACACTCACACAAGCGAGCACACAATGTCACGTAGAACAGCACACACACACACACACACGCATATATAGAGACATGCAGTAATTTTATATATTATGTACCAACCATATATAAATATTTGTGCAAGGTAAGCGGAATATTTTATATTTGCCGACGCTACGCGAAGCTGCCAAAGCGAAAACGAAACGAAAATCCAGAATATTACGTATACGTAACGTATCGAGGATGCTTCGCTGGTTGGGGAATTCTGGTAGAAACCTTTA